AGAGCTGTGATTTGTCCATAGTAGCCAATGTGTGTTCCATCTTGCATGAAGTGCCATTTAGACGAGACCTTGAGGTGTGAGTTTATTGGCCAGGGAATTATCTCTACAGTTCCTTCTTCCATATAAAACTTCAAGACTTTCTCCATCAGATGGCTGCAGTTGTTCTTATAGATCACCACTTTCTGTACCCCAAGAATCTTGTACATTTCCATGCTCTGTATAAACTGCAAGATGTTGTTGTAATTTCCAAACATAGCAGAGATGCACACAGTGAAGTCAACAGAAAAGGTCTCATCCTTGCGGTTTTTAATTTCAAACCTTGGCAGCTGGTCAATATTTCCTTGCGGAGAGTGATGAATTGATACGTATGTTGGATCGCAGTTTTCAGGCTCCAAACAAACTATATCTGCTGCACCATAAGGGAATCCAAATCTATCCGAGTGAACATCAATTGTTGCTTTTGATACATACATCTGTCCATCGGACTGACAGCAGAACCAGCAGTATAGTTGTTTTACATCTTCATGGTGAACAATCCCAATCACACGGGTGACTTTGCTTTCCCGGTCATCAAAGTATGGGGATATAATAAAAGTTCTGTTATCTTTTAATGGGGTTATTGTGCTGTTGGCAATTTTCCCTCTACATCTGCTGGCGCCTTGAATTATTTTTGGCAGGTGAGAAAGTCTCTGTAACCTAACATAAGAAAGTGTGACCATTGAAGTTAGAGTAATAATGCACACAGCAGCAGCAAAGTAAGATTTTTTTCCACGGCACAACAGTTTGAGTATATTTAAAAGCGGATGCCAATTTCTTTGTCCTTGCACTTTAGGCTGCTGCATCTGCAGAAAAGAAAATATGTAGTATGAGATAATGCTGATTCATGATCTTTACTCAAGAATTTCACAAACAAGATGGGGGGCAAATCTTGATCACTGTGCACTGACTTAACCAGAGACCCAGCTACTGTGCTTTAATGAAAAATTAATCACAGAACACACCTTTCATGGGATGGACGATACTGTAAGTGACACTCTGAATGCCTCTGTATGTCATATGTGTAGAACAGTTTCTGTACATGGAGGGTTCTGTGAAAGAGTATCATAGAGGTCTACATGCAGGAGAACAAGGAGCCATTATTCATTACTTTCTATAATCCAAATTTTACAGTATTCAATTAAATAATTAGACGCTAATTTTTAAAGCAAATGTTTTGTTGTTGTTTTTTTCTCTGCACAATGTACATGTAAATTGTACACACAAACACATCCTCAACCAGACTTCTCACAGACAAGTTAAGAGCAGATATATAAATTAAATGTATACAGAATTAATCAAGTTCATAAAAAACATGGCAACTGGGGGTTGCACATGATGGTCTAGATACAATCTCTAATGTATAAGTTCCCTAACTTGCAGTTCGCCATAGATAAGAATCCATATAGAGGAAGGTCAATTCATACAATTCAGCAGAAGACGGGTGAAATCTATGCATGTATAAAACTTATTCTCAGTTACTAGCTCTACCCTACTTAGTACTGTACAAGGCAGGGCTTGCAGGGAAAGTCGCCTTGTATTATGCTCGCTAGAGGTCCTGGCCTCCTCACACTGCATTAATGCTGGCTCACCTCCTGGCATGGTTTGGGGGTCAGGTCTTAAACTCTTGCTGCTGCAGGAACAGACAGGCATCCCTGAGTACATGGATGGCCAAAGCCTACAGCAGCACTCACGTGCTAGCAAGTGTTAATGCCTGACAGGGAGCTCCTGGCACTCTCAAGCAGTAATTTCTACCAGTGGAGCTCAGACTGAAGTTTCCTCTACAAATTCTTCTTTAAGCATCCAGGTATGATCCATAAACAGTAAGGTGACAGCTAGACTCTTCAAAGGCCTGCTTGTACCACAGATTCTTGGAAGAAGAGTGCCCCAGATTAATCAAATTCATGTTAGATCAGAAACTTGGACTGGTAGAAAAAAGTATCCCTAACTGCCCTTATTGCTCCCTACAACTACCTGAAAGGAGGATGTAGCAACGCGGGGGTCAGTCTGTTCTCCCTAGTAACAAGCGATAGAACAAGGGGAAATGGCCTTAAGCGGCACCAGGGGAGGTTCAGGCTGCATATTAGGAAGAATTTCTTTACTGAAAGGGTTGTCAGGCATTGGAACAGCCTGCCCAGGGAGGCAGTGGAGTCACCATCCCTGGAGGTGTTTAAGAGACGGGTAGGTGTTGTATTTAGGGACATGGTTTAGTGGTGTTGGTAGAGCTAGGACAAAGGTTGGACTCGATGATCTTGAAGGTCTCTTCCAACCAAAACTGTTCTATGATTCTATGATTCTAAGTGTGGGATAAAATGCCAAGATAGCATAGACTGCTTCTATTGCGCAAGATGAAGAAAGTATTTCTGGCAGGCATGTCACTGCTGCATAAAGCTGCTGAAAAAAAGAAATCATACCATTAAAAGACTCAGATTTCTAGGTATATATTTTGCAGCTAAAACAGGTAGCAATGTCATAAGCGTAGCAGATATTGGAAGATTTCTCCTGTTTCTTGTCCTTCCATTTACTTCTCAAAACCCTTAATAAAATCACTTAAGTACTTAGTAATCCAAGTATCTTCAGAGAGTATGTACATGCTAAATATCTCACAATATTTTTTCCAAAGCATATTACTCAGTCTATTCTAAAACAGTAATTAAACCTAGTGTTTCATACTTTTTTTATACATATATTTCACACATTGCATAAAGCTATTTTGAGAGCCTCCATCTCAATACTGTTCTGTGACAGAACAGAAAACCAGCATTTTCAAAGAAAAGCAAGAAAGATACAAAACTAGAAAGAACCTAAATGCACAGTTTTGATCCAGATATCATACTCAACAGCTTCATAACTTTGGAAGTGCCTAAATTCACTGGCAACTTCACTGCTTGGCTTGAAAAATTCCACTAGGGTCTGGTTTTCTGCTTAAACATAGTATTTTCCAACCAGTAAAATCTAGCTTCTGAGTAAAGCAATCTAGCATCTGAATTTCAATTCAGTCAGGCAAAGAATAATTGCCCACGCCTTCAGAACAGCGTGCAGTACTTTCACAATTGCTCCTTCCTGAAAAAGCAAAGTAAGAACTACGGTCACAACATACCCCTTAAAATGCCCCATTTGCCAAGGCTGGTAAGATTTGTAACAGCATTTCCTAGGTACCAAGAAATTGCTTAACAGACCACAGCAGTCGTAAGGCACCAGAATCTCACACCACACTAGGCAGAGCAGCAGCAGCAGACAGCACTGAGTCTTCTGTCTCTGAAACAGAGCGTGCCCCCCAGAAGTCCTTCCAATTTAGAGCAGAACTGCAAATACATGGTAAGAGCCTGCTACTGTCATACAACTTTCTGCTGGAGATACGTGACTGAGAACAACTCAAATTTTTTAAGTCTCTTTATTAAACATTCTAAAGTCAGACAAAAAGTTTCCCCTGAGCATTCTTATTCCCAGGTTGTTATATATTTCAGCGTTCTTACAACATAAAGTAGGTCACATTTAACATTTTTTCCTCAGTCTTATCTATCTGTGACTTAAAATACTGTTCAGTCTTATAAACAGTTTTTACTGAAGAAATATCAAAACATGGCAACATTAAATAATACCACTAATTTATTACCTATTATTTCTTCTGCTTTTGCTAGCTATATATAATGAATAATAAAAAAATACATCTTTTCAACTGTGTTTTGAACAATGAACATCAGAAACAAAAAGGTACCTTTTAAAGCAGATAGCTGAGTGAAGTTCTGTTCAGTCCTTCATTTATTTTCTGCTAAGGTATAATCTACAAATTGTTTATTCTAAGCAGATAAAAACTTCAATATTTTTAAGATAAATTGCAAGAATTTTTCAATACAGAACAATACTGAGGAAAAAAAAAATGCTGGTACGATACCCAAGACACTTGCTGACACATTTTATTTCAGATCAGCGGCCACACCTACCAGAAAAACAAGTTTTGCTTCTCTTGAGCAAAGCATTCAGTTGCCTCCCAAGAACTTAATTTAAACTATAAACTTGAGTATGGAGTTGCTGAAGCAGATCAAACCTGGGTGCTCAGGTGATATTTTAAGGCTACTTAAGTTTCCATCTGGAAATTCATCCTGCATGTTGATATATCTGCATTTCGCACACATACACTTCAAGAGAACTGAAAAAAAATATACCATATATATCTGCATTTCCTGGGCAATCATTTTTTTAGTAACATACTATAGGCCTAATCAAAATAGGTAAATATAGATTCTGATGAGGAACTCTGAGAGAAATCTGAAACAACAGCAGTTTCCAGAAGCAAAGAAAAAGAGCAAAATATAGAACTCAAGACACACCAGAACACAGAATCTTAAAGAAAAGAAACATGTAATTATTTGAGGAAGTAAATGGCTTTCCCAACACATAACTCATGAATTTTGATCCCCCGAAATTAGCAGCACAGATATGTGGTCAGAAATATATAAGGTCAGATTAATTAGGAACATTACATTTCTATTTCCTCACTACAGAGAGTACTTGGCAAATTTCAACTTCAAAAATATGCTTCCAGCATATTTAAAAGAGTTTATTTTATAATAACAATAACAATTCATTCCAGTTTTGTGTCTTTTAATTCCAATTACTACTCAAGTAGAACATGACACAAATTATGCAGACTTGCATAAATACTAAATTTAGCTAATGGTATCAATGGCTACTTCGCACCAGTTTGTTCTTTTTCAGTATTCCCCTTAACAGTGAAAAGCCTTTCTTCCTCCCTATTGCATTTATGGACTGCAGCCATATCACCTCCTAGTTTTCCTATTTGCTGTTTTTTCATTACACAAGACAGGCTGTTCTAATACCACCTTGTAAGAAACACTCTTCCTTGACCAGTGACCAGAAATCTCTGTTCCTTGTCCACTTGTACGTGACAGTGATAAGTCCACATCATTGTTGGAACTTTTCTTTCTTAATATTTGCTAGGATTATATTTTTGCAGATGCACCACACTGCACAGACATATCTGAGCTTGTCATCAGCCGAAGATTAACACATCTACCCAGTCTTTCTGCCAAGTGCAGTTACACAATGTGTTTTCTACTGCAGCAAGGTCATAATAAAGAGCTCTTGTCCCAGTTAGAATCATAGAACCATTGAACAGTTCGAGCTGGACAGGACCTTTAAAGATCATCTAGTTCCAAGCCCCCTGCTGTGGGCAGGGACATCTTTCACTAGATCAGGTTGCTCAAATCAATCACATTTCTCCCTATTTCTACGGTTATAGTCCACCTAAAATCTACTCTAAAACCTTGTATGTGACCAAGATTGCACTTACAAACTTGCATATACTTAAATAATCTTTTTTTTTCCATTCCTAAACCAAGGAACTGCTCATGCTTTCTTTCGCCACATTGTACCACTATGCTCACGACAGATCTATTAAACACCCATTTTAGGTTCTTCAATAAAAGCTCATCTGTCTTCTGAGAATTTTGGAATGGAAATTATTCAGTTATCACCTTCCAACTGGAATGTTCTTTTTACCTTTGCTGTAAGACCTTCTTTTCATCATCTTTCTTTAACCCTCCACAATTAACACTGTCCTTACTAAAAGGTGGAACAAAGTGCTAATCTAGTGCAAGAGCCATTCCTAGGTCATTATTAATCTCCCTGACATGTTCTCTGCATTGTGGCCTTCCTTTGT